ATATAAATATTTAACAGAGCCCTGGTGGCGCAACACTTAAGAGCTCGGCTGCTAACCAAAAGGTCGGGAGTTCAAATCCACCAGCCACTCTGTGGAAGCCCTATGGGGCAGTTCTACTCTGTCCTATAGGGTCCCTCTGAGTCAGAATTGACTTGACAGCAATGGATTTTTTATATGTTTAACACATTTGCCGATTTAACATTTTTCAGATGTTCGATTTAGTAATATCAATTATATTAATCATGTCGTGCAACCATCACCCGCAATTGTTGCCCGAATTTCCCATCACCATGAACAAAACAAGCAAAGCTCTTAGGATGGAGCCTGGCTATAGCAAAACAAAAAACAAAAACAAACCCGTTGCCATCAAGTGGATTCTGACTCATAGTGACCCTCCAGGACAGAGTAGAACTGCCCTGTAGGGTTTCCAAGGAGCAGCTGGTGGATTTGAATTGCTGGTCCTTTGGTTAGCAGCCCAGCTCTTAACCATTGCACCACCAGGCCTCTCTATAAAGGTTCCCGCCTTGGAAACCCTATGGGAGCAGCTCTCCTCTGTTCTATAGGGTCGCTGGAAGGCAATGAGTTATGTTGTGTAGCCATCACCACTATCCATTCCCAATATTTTCTGTTGTCTTTTCTTTTTTAATTGTTATAAAAATGTAGATATTACACATTTGCCAATTCAATATCTTTCACGTGTACAATTCGGTGACACCAATTACATCAATCATGTTGTCCAATCATCATCAATATCCATTGCCAAATTTTCCATCCTCATAAACAGGAATTCAATGCTTCCCGAACAATGACTACCCGTTTCCCCCTCCCTTCTGCCCCCGGTAAACCAAAACCAAACCAAATGCCCTTGGAGTCAATTGCAACTCATAGTGGCCCCATATGTGTTAGAGGAGAATTGTGCTCCATAGGGTTTTCAATGGCTAATTTTTCAGAAGTAGATCCCCAGGCTTTTCTTCCAAGGTGCTTCTGGGAAAAAAAAAAAAAATGCAGAGAGACCAGAACTTATTAGTGGTTACCAGGGGTGAGAGGGAAGGGTTAGCAGTACTTAACCATTTATGCCACCCAGAGACCCCTACCCATTGCCATCAAGTCGATTCTGACTTAAGTATAAGACAGAGTAGAACTGCCCCATAGGTTTTCCAAGGAGCGGCTGGTAGATTCGAACTGCCAACCTTTCAGACAGCAGCCCAGCTCTTAACCACTGTGCCACCAGGGCTCCAGCAACCCCTGGTAACCACTATTAAACTTTGATCTCTCTACATTTGCCTATGCTAGGTATGTCATATAACTGAGATCATACAATCTGTGTCCTTTTGTGACTGACTGACTTCACTTAGCATAATGATTTCAAGGTTCACTCATGCAGCAGTGTTTCCAAAGTTTTTCATCACGCTTCACAGAAACTCAGTACCCCTTAAGTAATACCGCTCCCTTTCCCGTGCCCCCAGCCCCGGACAACAACTAATGGACTTTGGTCTTCCTCTGTTTGCCTATTCTAGAAATCTCACACAAGTGGAATGATACAATATTTGTCCTTTTGTGTCTGGCTTCTTGCACTCAGCATAATGTTTTCAGGATTCATCCATGTTGTAACATGTATCAGAACTTCATTCCTCTTTACAACTGAGCAATCCTCCACTGTACGGAGAGACCACATTTTGTGTATCCATTCGTCTAGTGGTGGACACTGGGTTGTTTCCACCTTTTGGCTATCGTGCAAAGTGCTGCTGTGAACAGTGGTGTACAAATACCTAGGAGCCCTGGTGGTGCAGTGGTTAAGCACTCAGCTGCTAACCAAAAGGCTGATGGTTCGAACCCACCGGCCACTCTTCGGGATGAAGATGTGGCAGTCTGGTTCCATAAAGATTCCAGCCTTGGAAATCCTGTGAGGCAGTTCTACTCTGTCCTATAGGGTCACTATGAGTCAGAATTAACTCTACGGCAGTGGGTTTTGGTACAAGTACCTGTTTGAGTCCCTGCTTTCAAGTCTCTTGGGTATATACCCAGGAGCGGAATTGCTGGGGTCTTATGGAAGTTCTATGTCAGACTCTCTTTCTCTACCAGTGGGCTGAGGTCTTATCACCTCCAAGTATCCCTTGAGTGTTGCATTCTACCTCTTTTTCCTTGGGTGGCTCTGGCTTCAGACAGACCTGGGCTTCGAATCCCCCACTCCTTCACTACATGACCTGGGCAAATGCGTTCCCTTCTGTGAGCCTCCTTTTTTTTTTTTTTTTTATCTGTAAAATGGCATAATAAGCACTTGGCACCCAGAATCCACGTGAAGGTTAGGTGAGATCCTGTGCACACAGTAAAAACTAAATCAAACCCACTGTTGTCAAGATGATTCCAACTCACAGCAACCCTATAGGACAGAATAGAGCTGTGGGGTTTCCAAGGAGCAGCTGGTGGATTTAAACTGCCCACCTTTTGGTTAGCAGCCAAGCTCTTAACCGCTACACCACCAGGGCTCCATGCATACAGTAGGAGGTTGGCAATATCAGGCTTGAACCTAGCACTAGACAGAGAGAAAATGAATCCTTTTCTCCAGAAGGACTCAGCCACGTACAAGACCACACAGCTTGGCCAGGGGACTGTGGGCTGATTCCTTGGCCTAAGGTTGCCAGAGAAAATATAGGACACCCATTTATATTTGTACTTCGGATAAACAACGTAAGTATGTCTCATGTAATATTTGCAATATTATACTAAAAAGTTATTCATTGTTTATCTGAAAGTCAAATGTAATTGGGCATTCTATATTTTCATGTGCTTCATTTGGCAACCCTACCTTGGCCACAAACCGAAAGATGCCTAGGATAGTCCTGACACGGAGGCTTTCTGTAGCATTCTATCCATCCCAGTGGCCCCAGCATGGCCTCTGGCACGCAGTAGGTGCTCAATAAATGTTCCCTGGAGTCCCTCATTAAAAATAATCAGCCTGGCTACCACCAATGACCACCCTGACAGGGAACACACCAGAGAGTTCTGGACAGAGCAGGAGAAAAATGTAGACCAGAACTCAAACTCACATAAGAAGACCAGACTTAATGGTCTGACAGAGACTGGAGGAACCCCTGAAACTATGGCCCCTGGACACACTGTTAACCCAGAACTGAAACCATTCCTGAAGCCCACTCTTCAGACAAAGATTAGACAGGTCTATAAAACAAAAAATAATACACGTGAAGAATGTGCTTCTTAGTTCAATCAAATATACAAGACCAGATGGGCAGCTCCTGTCCAAAAGCAGGACGAATGGACACAGGGAACTGGGGGGTGGAAAGGGCAAATGTGCTGTCACATTGTGGGGATTGCAAACAATGTCACAAAAAATGTGTGTATAAATTTTTGAATGAGAAATTAACTTGAGCTGTAAACTTTCACCAAAAGCACAATAAAAAAAAACAATGATAATCAGCAAAGTAACAATTACTGTGTGTTGTGTTACGAGACACAGAGCTTGGCTCTGCCTCTTTTCAGCTGTGTGACCTGGAGCAACGTGCTTAACCTCTCTGTGCCTGTTTCTTCATCCATGAGTGGTGGTCACATACCACCTACCTTGAAAGGTTGTCCTGGAGACTAAAGAGATCATCTATGTAAAGAGCTGGGAGCAGTGTTGGATACAAGATGGTGCTTGGACAATGCCAGTTACTGTTTGTTTAGCACGCATTTCTGGAGCACATGGAGTCTCTGGGTGGTGCAAGCAGTTATTGCCATTGGCTGCTAACCAAAAGGATGGAGGTTCAAGTCTACCCAGGGGTGCCTCAGAAGAAAGCCTGGCAATCTACCTCTGAAAAATCAGGTTTTGAAAACCCTATGGCGTCCACCAATGTTCATCGCAGCGGTTTTTACAGTAGCTAAAAGGTGGGAACAACCCAAATGTCCATCC